GCCGGGGCAGGGCGCGCTGCCGCCATGCACTTGCAAAAGGCCGAGGCCTCACGCCTACTTCACACGCCGACAATCCAAGACTGGTTTGTTGTTCTTAAAAACAAAAAGGAGGTATGGGATCTGGAAGCTTACTTGTTTTCCTGCTGGTTCTGGGGCTTGAGCTTGGAGCGTGGGCACTGTCCCTTAGCTTTTTTTGTTCAAGGCTGGCACTCTACCACTTGAGTCACACCTCCACTTCAGGCTTTTTGGTGGCTAATTGGAGATAAAGTCTCCTGGACTTTTCCTGCTGGGGCTGGCTTTGAACTGTAATCCTCAGATCTTAGCCCCAGAGTCCCTGAGTAGCTGGGATTACAGGCATGAGCCACTGGTAGCTGGCCCTTTTCTCATTTTCTTATTGTGGCAAAATAGCAGGTTGAAGGTGCCACTTGCGCAGGGTTAGTGGCGTTCTGTGCTGGTCCGCCCCCCCCACAGCCCGGCCCTCGCTGCCTCCCCCAGCGGAGCTCCTTCACACGGCCCACCGTGCGTGGGTTGTGGGGCTCATACCACCCCAAGCCACGTCCTCGCCGCTGTGATTCCGACCAACCCGATCACCTCAGACGCAGTTGCTTCTTTTGTCTCTTGTGCAAAAGCTGGGTCTGAGCCGGGCCCTTCATTGCCCCTGCCTTTACCCACCCTGCCCACAGCACGGGGAGGTCCTGCCTCTGAAGATCGTCACCTACACGGCCGTAGCCGCGTCGCTGGCAGCCCTGCTGGTGACCTTCGTCCTGCTGGCCCTGGCCCGCACGCTGCGCTCCAACCTGCACAGCATCCACAAGAACCTCACGGGGGCGCTCTTCTCCTCCCAGCTGGTCTTCGTGGTTGGCATCAACCGCACGGAGAACCCGGTGAGACCTGGGCTCCCCTCCCCCCCAACCCCAGGGGTCCCCCACGCTGCCACATGCCGTGTCCTCTGGGTGTCTCTGGGTGTCCTGGGAGGCTGGCAGGGAGGGTCTGAGAAGCTGCTGCCCCTGCTCCCACAGCTGGACCCAGAGGGGTCCCCACGGCAGCCGGGGTTCTGGGACCCACAGTGGCTTTGTGCCCCAGGGGTCTTGGCTTCAGTGGGACCATGGGAGCCACAGCAGGAGGGCCAAGGAGACCCACCCGTGGTGTAGACCCGGGTGATTTCATAAGCAATTACAGTCATGGCCAGGCACGAGGGGCTCAGGCCTGTAAACTTAGCTACTCAGGAAGCTGAGATCTGAGGATCACGGTTCAAAGCCAGCCTAGGCAGGAAAGTCTGTGAGAATCTTCAATAAACTACTCATAAAAAGCCAAAAGTGGCACTGTGGCTCAAGTAGGGGAGTGCTGACTTTGAGCAAAAGCAGCTCAAGGACGGCGCCCAGGCCCAGAGTTTAAGCCCCAGGACCAGCACCAAAAAAAAAAAAAAAGGAAGGAAGGAAGGAAGGAAGGAAGGAAGGAAGGAAATCAGTCGTTTGGCAGATCCTAGGCCTGTGCGCTGTGCTCAGGCTTCCGGAAGGCGTCAGCCACGTGCACTGTAAGTGAGCAGCCATGGTGCCGCCCCTCCCCCCTCCCCCCCTCCCCGCCTCTGCCCTCTCCGTGTCCCGGGACAGCCCTGCACCTCCCCAGAGGGGCGGCACAAAGCCTCAAACACGCCACCACGTCACCACGTCATGGTGCCAGCAGGTGCTTTCTGGGCGTAAGCAGGGACAGAGAAGAGAAAAAAGCTTGCAGAAGAGCAAACAGGCAGGCCAGGAGGTGACGGGAGAGGAAAGATGGGTGGCGGCTTGGTCCGAGTGAGGGCAGGGCGCCGTGTGAGCTTGTGGGGTGCTGTGTGCGACCTTTGAGTGCCCGGGGTCACGGAGCCCGGTGCGGTGGGCAGCTCGGGGTCTGGCACACACATGCAGCTGGTGGGTGTGTGGACGGACAGTGACCACCAGGCGTCCTTTTCAAGGCCGTCGATTCCTCGTGGGGCCTCTGAGCCCACCGACGGGCCCCCTGCCCTGGGTGGTCACACACAGCACTGACGCCCGACTCACCGACCGCCAGCCTTGGGGCTCTTGTGAGTTGTGTCCGCCCAAACAGTGCAGTAGCACTGAGCGCTCCACCCAGGCTTCCATCCTGCCTGAGTCTCCCAGTCAGATCCCCAGACAACCCAGCTGACGCGGGGAGTGTAGCAACTGAGACTACGTAGGCAAAGATCTTACGGCCACGCTGGGGTCTGGGTGGCCACTGGCCCGAAGCTGTTGGAGGAGCTGTGTGAGGAGGAGGAGCTGTGTGAGGAGGAGCTGTGTGAGGAGGAGCTGTGTGAGGAGGAG